CAACTCCAAGAAGTCGACATAGTGGAGGAGTTCCTCCCACTTAGATTGGGCAGCTCCGATGTGATATTGGGAATGAAGTGGTTGGAAACACTTGGAACCACCTAGACAAATTTGAAGGAACAATCAATGGCATTCGAAGTTGCGGGAAATCCAGTGTGTCTAAGGGGGATCACTCTCTCGGGAAGTCCCTCATCTCTTTAAAAGCCATGGAAAGGGAGTTAAGGAGAAAGGAACCAGGGGTATGGGTGGAGCTGAGTAATGTCGAGTTGAAGCATACGACCCCGACCCCGATTCCTAAGTTTTTGATGGGGATTTTAGATCGATTTCAGGGAATATTCAGCGAACCCCAGGGGCTGCCACCGAACAGATCCATCGAGCACCAAATCGAGTTGAAAGAGGGAGCCTTACGGGTTAGCGTAAGGCCATACCGGTATCCATATTTAAAAAAAAAATGAGATTTAGAAGATGTTACAGGAAATGCTCAGGGCAGAAATAATTCAGACAAGCACAAGTCCTTACTCTAGCCCAATTATCCTTGTAAAAAAGAAGGATGGGTCGTGGAGGTTTTGCGTGGACTATCGGGTGTTGAACCGAGCCACCGTGGCTGATAAGTTCCCAATTCCGGTGATAGATGAGTTGTTGGATGAATTACATGGGTATTCTGTCTTCAGCAAGTTAGACGTTCCAGGTATCACCAAATTCGAGTCCGAGCAGCCGATGTGCACAAAACCGCTTTTAGAACGCACGACGGGCATTACGAGTTCAAGGTAATGCCCTTTGGACTTACTAATGCCCCACCCACCTTCCAGGCCTTGATGAATGATATTTTTCGTACGTACTTGCGGAAATTCATTTTAGTATTCTTCGATGATATACTAGTCTACAGTCCCAATGACGAACTACATAAACAACATTTAACTACTGCCTTCGAGAAATTGGAAGAACATCAGTTATTCTTGAACCTCAAGAAGTGCGAGTTTGGAAAATCAAATCTCTCTTATTTGGGCCATGTTATTTCTAGCGAAGGGGTATCAACAGATAACTCAAAGATTGAAGCGATGTTGAGTTGGCCCACCCCAGGAACATAAAGGAATTAAGGGGGTTCCTTGGACTCACGGGGTACTATCGGAAATTCGTCCGAAAGTACGCCCAAATTGCGATTCCCCTGACAGAACAGCTCAAGCATGATCGGTTTGGATGGGGGAAGGAAGCAGAACAACCGTTTCGGAACCTTAAGAAAGCTATGACAACCTTACCGATCCTATCCATGCCCGATTTCCAACAAACCTTTATGGTCGAAACGGATGCCTTGAGGTTTGGGTTAGGGGCAGTGCTATCCTAAAACGACAGGTCAGTGGCTTACTACAACTTAACTTTACGGGTGAGAGCAAGGGAGAAATCCATCTATGAAAAAGAACTCATGGCGATTGTAAAGGCGGTCATGAAATGGAGACCCTACCTTTTGGGAAGAAGGTTTGTGGTGAGGACAGACCAGATAAGTCTGAAATACATTCTAGAACAACGGGTGATCGGAAATGACTACCAACGATGGGTAACCGAGCTGATGGGATTCAACTTCAAGGTTCAATACCACACCGGGGCTAGTAACCGAGTAGCTGATGCCTTGTCTAGGTGAGAAACCACCATCGCTTGCAATTCTGTGAGCATGACTCAATGGGGAAGTTGGGACAAATTAAAAAAAGAGTTGGACCAGGATGTCTTTGTGCAAAAGGTGAAACAAGACTTGGAGGCTAACCCCCAAAGCCACAAAGGCTTCGGAGTTTTCTTTGGCAATCTGTTATACAAAGGAAGGCTGGTGATTCCCGCCTCCTCCCCACTAATTCCGAACATCATATCGACGTTCCATGACTCGCCTATCGGAGGTCACTGGGGAGTCAAGAAGACCTTCCAGCGGGCAGTATCGGAAGTGTATTAGGTTGGCATTTGGGAGTCTATATCTGAGTTTGTCAAGAAGTGCAACATCTGCCAGCAACATAAAGCCCTCACTTCATCCCCTGCCAAGTTGTTGCAACCCATTCCAACTCCGGAGCAAGTTTGGAACGATATAACCATGGATTTCGTGGAGGGGCTACACAAATCAGGAGGGTGGGATACCATTTGGGTCGTAGTGGATCGCCTTAGTAAATATAGTCATTTCATACCTCTGAAGCACCCCTTCTCAGCAGCCACTGTTGCAAGCAAATTCCTGACAGAGGTGGTAAATTACACGGAATGCCCTTGTCCATCATTAGCGACAGGGACAAGATATTTCTAAGCCAATTCTGGAGGGAGCTCTTCAAACTACATGGGGTAGATTTGAAACGCAGCACGGCCTATCATCCTCAGTCAGATGGTCAATCTGAAGTGGTGAACCGGTGCCTTGAAACCTACATGCGATGTTTTTGTTCGGGCAAGCCTAAACAGTGGGCCCAGTGGTTAGCATGGGCCGAGTACTGGTACAACAGTACATACCACTCAGCTACAGGAATAACTCCTTTTAAGGCTCTGTATGGTCGAGACCCCTCCCCCCACCCTAATCAGATATGAGCGACAATTTACTCCAGTGGATGCCTTGGATCAATTACTAGAAGATCAAGATGCCATCCTTGATGATCTCAAGATGAATTTGATAATTGCTCAACAAAGAATGCAGGTTCAAGCCAACAAGAAAAGAAGGGATGTGGAGTATCAGGCTAATGATTGGGTGTTTCTTAAACTAAGGCCCTACACTAAGGCCCTACAGACAGAAGAACTTGGCTCAAAGGAAATCCGAGAAATTATCACCCCGTTACTATGGGCCCTTTCGCATATTGGAGACGATTGGAAAGGTTGCCTATAAGTTAGAACTACCACCCACCACAAATATCCATCCCACATTTCATGTATCCCAGCTCAGGACTGCTATTGGGACAACCACGCCAACTCAGAATATCCCACCACAGCTCAACGAAGACTTGGAATTGGTAGCTCAACCAGAATATCTACGGGGTGTACGTTTTAATAAGAATGGAGAGTTGGGAGAAAAAGAGGTGCTGATACAGTGGGAAGGGTTAGCAGAAACATAAGCCACCTGGGAAGACTACGGTAAGATGAATATGCAGTTTCCTAAGTTTGACCTTGAGGACAAGGTCAAAGTGTGGGACGCCGGTGTTGATAAGCCCCTGGTCCATCAGGTCTGCACTCGTAAGAAGAAATGGCCTAAAGTGGGCAGCCCAATGAATCATGGCCAGTCCAGTTTTCCTCAGGGGACAGATCAGGGGTAATTTGGTCCTTTTGGTTTACCCAGCAGCTGTGGAGCAGGAGACACCGGTAGTGGAGGAGGAATGTTTAACGTCTTTTAGCAGGGCAGTCCTTTTTTGTCTTTTTATTAGTATATATAGCTGGTAGTGGTATCTTTTGGGATTATGTTGATTTTGTATTGGTTTATGCAACTTGGAAAGAACTCACCTCTCGAAAGTGAGATTTATGTTACAGTTCTACGAATATTATTCCAGTTTCCTAGTCTCTTGAATCCATATTGCAGTGTTGGTTTTGATTATTTGTGTGAGCTTATCAGAAACTCGCTAAACTTTGATTCATAGTTGTTGGTTTCATAGTTTCAGGTACATTAGACGATAGGAGCAAGGAAAATGTATGATCGTACACATCCTCCTAATTGATTATGTTTTGAGAGGGTTTTGATACTCTGATTCTATGGTTTTGTGTGGAAAATAATGGGTTATTATCTTATAGTTTTGTGGAATGATTTTATAAAATTTAAAAATTTTATCATGGTTTTTGGAATGTGACAATGTATGACTAAGATTAGATGTTTAATTGGTGCAAATATCAATATATCTATCTTTATCGGTTTATTATTACAAATGCATAATTTTTTTGATTACATAATGGAAAACATTACAATTTTTGCTAATGTTTTTTTAGAACCTAAATATTTCTTTTACTTTTTAAATGTTTGCGAGCTATGGACTTATTTTTTTTCATATTGAAGTGACTATTTTTTATATTCTAAAACGATTAAAATGGAAAACGAGAACAATAGGAAACATGGCCCATGGGTTTTAATATAAAAACGAAGTGTGTCGACTACCGGTGCAAAAGGTAAGATATGTCCATACTGGTGCAAGAGGTTGAAATATAAGACAGTTAGGATCAATGTTCTAACAAATCTGAGATTTTCTTTTTCTATATACGATTTTCTTTTTCTGTGTGATCCCTTTTTATATACAAATTGGACCAAATTACATGGTCTATGTGGTTTAGTAAAAAGTCGCATTTTGAGTCCAAGTTTCAAAATTTATCATGAGTCCAAGTTTCAAAATACAAGTACAAATGGTCTTTCTGGTTTTAGGATCTTGCATCGATGATCCTTTCAGAAAATTCTCTCAATGGACTTCCATTGAGTGTCATTGTTTGCTTTTGTCTAATTGTCCTATATAAGTGGACATAATTCCAGGCTGTTGAGATTCAAGAATAAGCTTATGGTATCCTTCACAAAAACAAGGAGATACAAGCAGACATTTTATCATAGTTAGACTTTTTTTTCTTCTGTTTTCTTTTGTCTAAATTAACCCAAATAGTATCGGTAGGTCATATTTTGTTAACTAATGGAGTAATGGTTACGTATTTTTGGGAAGGTAAACTTCTATTTTCTATCAATGATGGATGTGTATTGTAACTGTGATATATACCAGTAATATGTTTATTTAATTCTTATGGTTGTAATGAAATTAGGTAATTGAAAATGAGATTTTAAATATGCTTTAAGATGTATGTAACAATCATGTATCCAATGCTTCTTGCATCATTTGAATAGGACCCAAAAAAAGACGTAAACAATGAGTTAATATTAAAAGATTACATAAAAGACATGTATATGTTTAAACATGAATGCGATTTAAAATGGAAAAAGTAAACAAATTACAGTGAAGAACAAGTCACAGTTGCTCTGAAATCCAAAGATGGCCAAACCCATACCATTTAAAAAAACAAGATGCCATCTACACTGTAAAACAAGGAGCATCCACTGCTTCCTTTGGCACAAGCTTACCAATCAACTTAAGCAAAGAAGCATCTAAACAACTAGTTTTTATATAATGAAGTAACATTTCTACAGTTGAAGCATCAAGTGAGAAACCTTTTCCTTCCATTTCATGTAGAAGCATTTCTACCATATCATGTTGTTGGTTCTTTAGAAATCCTTGGAGAAGAATCCGGTAAGTCACATCATCTGGTGAGCAGCCTCTCTTTTCCATTTCAAAAAACATTTCTTTGGCTTCCCCAAAAACACCTTCCCGAAAAACACCTTTGATCATCACAGTATATGTCCGAACGTCCGGTTGCAAACCTTTACCAGTTAGGTCATTGAAAATGTTCCTTGCAATATCAAACTTCCCATTTTTACTTGCACCATCAATGAGTATATTGTACACCTTTATATTTGAATTTAGCTTGTTGTCACCTATCAAATAGAATAAAGAGAGTGCTTTCTCCACTTGATTGTTGTTGCAAAGACCCTCCAAAACAATTGTGTAAGTGATTTCATCTGGAATCAGGTTGTGTGCCTGCATCTTGTTAAAGAGTTTGCATGCAGCTTCACAACGTCTAGCTTTAAACAATCCCTGTAGCATGGTGCTGTAAGTGATCACATTCGGTTGTATACCACCTTTTTTAGTTATTTCATGAAACAAATGCATGGCCTCTTCTATCTTCAATTTCTTACAATACCCATTCAATAAACTATTATAACTCACAATATTAGGAACCAAACCTCAAACCCCTATCAAATCAAAAACTTCCTTTGCTTTCCCCATTTCTCCTCGCAAACAATACCCATCAATAAGTGAGTTGTAAGTCACTACATCAGGAACCTTCCTTCTTTCAGTCATTAAGTTGATAATACAATTTGCATCCTCCACCTTCCCTTCCTTGCAAAGCGTATCAACTAATATACTATATGTCCGAACATCTAGAGAGATCCTATCATCCTCCATTTCTTTGAGCAATTTAGAGACATCATCCCAACGACATAAATTACAAAGGCCATGAATCAAAGAATTGTAAGTCACAATATTAGGTAGGATGCCTTTTTTGAAGACCATTTCTTTGAAGATTCCTAAAGCATCATCTACCATTTTGTCTTTGCAAAGACTATCAATGATGATGCTATATGTGATCACATCTGGTTTACAACCCCTTCTATCCATTAGTTTAAGCAATGCAATGGCAGTATCATTGTTGCCAAATCTGCAAAGCCCTTTAATCATAGTGCTGTACGTAATTGTATTAGGTTCACAAAGTTCCACTTTGATCAGCTTCTTAAATAGTCTTTCGGCTTTGAGGACTCTATTTTCAAGGATGAGTCCATTTAAGAGTGTGTTAAAAGTGCAGACATTTGGTAATATATTGTGTTTGAAGCCATAGCCTAAGACTGCAAATCCTTCATTTGTGCGGTGCATTTGGCAACAGCACTTGATCACAATGCTAATAGTGTGCACATTAACAGGAACACGAAGGGCATTCATTCGTTTAAAAAGGTCAACCGAACAAGAATACTGTTTCATTTTGGTAACTGCTTGCAACAACTGGGTAAATTTGAAAACTGAGGGCAGAGGTTTCCTCTTAGTCATTTCATCGAACAGTTGGAGGGCATCATCAAGGTTAGTAATCTTCTCACTCATAGACCGATAATGATTAACCGGTGTTTGACGATTAGGAGAAGATGTTGAAAGAAACCGAGCTGAAATCGTTTTGGGGGTAAAGATTCCGGTGCCAAATTGTGAAAATGATGAAATGAGGGTGGAATGAGCAACAGATGTATCTTTGAACTTGTTGAGGGGAGGAGAGACGACAGAAGAAACAACGTGTTTTGGTTTCGCTGGAAGCACCAAAATAATCTTCGAGCTTCGACCACTTGGATTCACCATTAAAAGGGACTGGCCTACAACGAAGAACGGAACAGCTCGTGTTATTGACCTCGTTTTGTTTTAGACTGGTTTTGTTTTATCAGTGTAAACTGGGTAAAAAAAAAAACTGGTTGCGTGTATCTTTTAGGAATCTTAATTTTGTTAAAAAACCTGTAGGGGTGTTTTTGACTTTTTGTCCATAACGGTCTACCTGTATAATATGTATGCGTTATTTTTTAAAGATATTATATTTCCAGAATGTCCTGTTTAATATAATTTGTACATAATCACGACCTTTTATACGAAACATTTTTAAAATAATGATTTTGAGTTCATGTTCATCATCAGTTGGATTTGGTTAATATCCGAAGATATGGAAATTATTTCGTAATACTCCAATGTCCCGTTAAATATGCACCTGATCTCAACTATCTTTTATTTTCATATCAAACATTTATAAAGCAACCATCATCAATTGGATACATATATTAATTAATATCTTAATATAGGGAAAATTATCTCATCATAGTTAAAATCATAATCACTGACCTTTTATACGAAACATTTTTAAAGTCATATTATACGTAAATGGTCATTGAATTTTGTTGACCTTCACACTTGTGGTCTATTTTTTATTTTTTATAAAAAAATTTGTTATTTTAAAAGCACCGATTTTAAGGTGGTTTTTTTTTCTTCTAAACGTTATGGACGAAGCCCCGGATAACTTATTAGTTAAAGTTTGAAGAACAACAACATTTATCCTTTTTTTTACTGCAATACGTGAATTAATTCACAATAATTATTTACTCCCTAGATGTTGTGAATCTACATTTTGTGCATCGTTCCTCACCCAAAATTAAATCAAACTTTGAGGAACAATGATAACCTTTTTTTTTTTTACTGAAATATCTAACATTTTTTTCTTTTTGCTTCTCAAACATTTTTACCTTGAATTATAAACATCAACATTAAATAGCATTTTAGTTATTGTATGGGACTCGGTTCTTTTCTTAAGATTAACATTCAAAAGTTACCACTGCAAGTAAGTTGAACAATTTCCTTGTTGTCAATATGATCCCAGAACCAACAGTTTGATCTTGCAAAATTGTTATTTAGAAGTTACAAAAACAAAGGATTCATATTGTTATGGGAATACCAAAAAATGGTTTTATGTTATCTTGTATGTAAACTTCATACTTAAACTTGTTCGGTGGATACAAATGAAAAGGTTTTAGCAAATAGAAAGAACGATAAGTGCAACTAATTTGACATCTCACAATGGAATATTGTATTTTTTTATGCAAAGAATTAAATACATTTTAATACGTATGTTTAACTGACATGAAAATTATCTTGCACACCAAATGCTTATTTTGTTTTGACTTTTGAGCTTATCGTGATGTAGGCTTTTCATTTCGAGAACCAGTTATTGATACTAAGTATTGAGTAGATATTAAAAAGTAAAATAAACAGGCTGCATATTTTAATGTGAAGTTGAACATAAATGGGACATAAGATGAGAAAAGTAAATAGATAACAATGAAGAACTAGCCATAATAATGATGAACTTAATATTGGCAAACAAAAATAACTAAATGATAACAAACTTGCAGACCAAAGATGGCCTAAACCATACCCTCTTAGAAAACCAAGAAGCCATCTACACAGTAAAACAAGGAGCACCCACTTCTTCCTTTGGCACAAGCTTACCAATCAGCTTAAGCAAAGAAGCATCGAAAGATCTAGCTTTTATATGATCAAGTAACATTGATACAGTTGAAGCATCAAGTGAGAAGCCTTTTCCTTCCATTTCCAGTAAAAGCATCTCTACCATATCATGATGAACATACTTTAAAATTCCTTGGAGAAGAACATTGTAAGTCACACTATCCGGCTGGCAGCCCCTTTCCTCCATTGATATGTGTATTTTTATATATATTTATGTATAACATATCTTAATATTTTAGCATTTATTATTATTATTTAGAACTAAAATAAACTTAATATGCTTTGAAATATTTAATTACAGTTAAAATAATGCAAAAGAAAGAGAATGGAGCTGAAAAGATGCAAAAAGGATATTGCTGGCAGATTGACCCCTCTTCAGTGTTTTGGGTATATCTGATGACTCATAAGTCCAATTGACGAGGTTCAAACTGTTCTGAAAACTAGATGAAATTTCCTACGACTTATGTGAGAGGGACTTTTGGCTAATTCGACACTTATCTTATCCAAAATTGGCCTTGAAGATGAAGCATAAAAGCTGGACGGAAATTCCCTCCAAGTTACTTATTCCCCAAGCTCCACTTATCTTATTTTTATTTGCTTAATCCCTAAGCCACCATTAGTTTCCTTATTCCAATCCAACTCTAATATTCCATATAAATTCCATCTCCATCAACTATAAATACCCCATATCATTCCACCAATTTGAATAATCTATGATATTCCACTTCGACTTGTGCAACAAGAAAACTTCATAGTTGCCGTTTTGAGGGTCTAGGAGGTGGCCGGAAGGCCGTTAAGCTAACAGGAGCGGAGATCGGAAGGGTTGGAGAGCGGATACGTGTCGGTAATCATATGGGTGTTAACGTGACCATGTTTAGCATTCCATTGTGTTACTATTCTGTATTTAGTTTCTGATTTGGGTGTAAAAACCTTTTACTTTGTGTTTATGATTGAATGAAGCTTTGATTATTAGACTAATTGCTATATTGAATAGTTTGTTTGTGTTTAATTTATCTTGCCAAGCTTGTTAAAAGATCCTTACGTATTAATGATAATTATTTGCTGTTAATTGTTAAGTGAATTGAGTTGTATGAACATATGCTTGATTGCTTGTCTCTTATGATTTTGGTGACCATCGAGATTATAAGTCTAGGAATAACGAATGTGAAACTAGGATTAACTTGGGAATAAGTAAGTTAATGTGTGAGCCTTGTTTGATGACCATCAACAAGAGGTTAATTGAATGCCTAATTTGATTAACTATATTTGCAATTCTTGCTTGATACGAACTGAACACTAGGAAGCATGTTAGTTTAACCAATTGATCACTGTTTGAATTGACTTGTTTGCTAAAGGATTAGTTATAGTGAACGCGAATCTAATCATTTTAGGAATCGGTGAACATGAATAAATGAATTTGTGTATGCAATTGTCTATGTTTTTAAAGTGTAATTTGTCTAAACCAAAGTACCTGAAGAGATTTGCTTTCCTGTTAGTTTATCGAGAGTTGTTAATTAATTGTTCGTTTGAGATTTATTAAACTACTTCTTTATTCATTCCGTGTAACCTGTAACCTATAATTAAATATTTTAAATTAATTCACCACCGTTCCCTGTGATCGACACCCGACTTACCTAAGCTATACTGTAATCTGACTAGGTACACTGCCTATAAGTGCATAGTTAGTCTAAGTTTGTTAGGTTATAAATATTAAAATTAGTGGGTACTTTTGTGCACATCATCCATCTTAAGAAAAAACTCTTTTGCTTCACTCACTAATCCTTCCCGACAAAAACCACTGATCATTGTATTATATGTCCAAACATTCGGTTGCAAACCTTTAACAGTTAGATCATTGAAAAGGTTCCTTGCAATATCAAACTTCCCACTTTTACTTGCACCATCAATAAGTATATTATACATAGCAATATCCAATTTTATCTTATTCGCCCCATTCAGATGAAATAAAGTTTGTGCTTGATCCACTTGTTTGTTGTTGCAAAGACCCTTCAAGACTATTCTGTAAGTGCTTTCATCTGGAATCAGTTTGTGTGCTCGTATCTCGTTAAAGAATTCGCAAGCAGCTTCACAACATCCAGCTTGAAACAATCCTTGTATCATTATACCGTAAGTGATCACATTCGGTTGCATACCACCTTTTTTAGTTATTTCATGAAACAAATCCATGGCTTCTTCTATCTTCAGTTTCTTGCAATACCTATTCATTAAACTACTATAAGTAGCAACATTAGGCATCAGGCCTCGAGACCCCATCAAATTTAAAACTTCCCTTGCTTTGCTCATTTCACCTCGCAAACAATACCCATCAATAAGTGAATTGTATATCACTACATTGGGAACGTTGCCTTTTTGGATCATTAAGTTGAAGACACCTTTTGCATCTTTAACCTTACCTTCTTTGCCAAGGGAATCCACTAATATACTAAACGTATGAACATTTGGGGAGATCCTTTGCTCTTCCATTTCTTTGAGTATTTTATCGACTTCGTCCCAACGACACAAGTTACAAAGGCCGTGAATTAAAGAGGTGTAAGTGACAACATTAGGTAGGATGCCTTTGTGGAAGACCATTTCTCTGAAGAGGTTTAAAGCATCATCTACCATTTTATCCTTGCAAAGGTTGTCAATGATGGTGTTATTTGTGACCACATCAGGTTTACAACCCTTTTCATCCATTAGTTTAAGCAAAGCAATGGCTGTATCATTATTACCAGATTTGCAAAGTCCTTTAATCATAATGTTGTACATAATTGCATTAGGTTCACAAAGTGCTTCTTTGATCAGCTTCTTGAATAACCTTTCGGCTTTGAAAACTCTATCTTCTAGGACAAGTCCATTTAAGAGGGTGCTAAAAGTGCAGACATTTGGTAATATATTGTGTTTGAAGCCATAGCCTAATACTGCAAATCCTTCATTTGTGCGGTGCATTTGGCAACAGCACTTGCTCACAATGCTAATAGTGTACGCATCCATAGGAACACGAAGGGCATTCATTCGTTGAAAAAGCTCAATGGAACAAGAATACTGTTTCATTGTGGTAACTGCTTCCAACAACTGTGTAAATTTGACAACTGGGGGCACAGGCTCCCTCTGTATCATTTCATCAAACAGTTGGAGGGCATCATCAAGGTTAGTAATCTTCTCACTGAGAGACCGAGGATGATTAACCGGTGTTTGACGATTGGGAGAAGATGTTGAAAGAAACCGAGCTGAAATCGTTTTCGGGGGTAAATATTCTGTTGCCAAATTGTAAAAACGATGAAGGATTTCTTAATGAAAGAAGTGGGGAACAAGTAGCGAATGTACCTTTAAATTTGTTGAGGGGATGAGAGACAACAAAGAAAAAAAGGTTTTTTGGTTTCGTCGTAAGCATCATAAGGATCTTCAACTGCGACCTCCGACTACTTGGATTCACCGGTAAAAAGAAGGGAGACTGCTTCTAAACGAAGAAAGAAAGAAATATTGTTTCTTTATCAAGTCGTAACAAGGGTCCAACCCAAATTTTGGTGTCCCGTGTATGGAACAGGGCCGGATCAGCCCTTGTCCAAATCTAAAAAAGAAAAGTTACATTACATATTGAATGGAGCAGGTCGTTCACCCCATAAAGGGTTTACATTTTTACCCTCTAAATTAATCAAATCAAAATTTTGATATTTGATTTGATATTATTTTTTTCTTTTATCTTTTATTGTTTTTTTGTTTTTCAATTTTGTTTTTTTTTTTTGTTATTTTTATTTCTTTATAATAATAATTATTATTATTGTTATAAATTTCGCATAAAATTTTAACATTTGGACGACATTATAAATTCAAACGGTTATATAAAATCGGTTTTTTGATATTTTTATATTTTAATATTAATATTATTATTGTTATAAATTTCGAACAATATTTTATAAATCGGACATTATAAATTCGAATTCTTATATAAAATCGGAAGCATCGTATAGTGTTCGAGTAAATGTTTTCAATCCGCATAACGCACCACGCAATTGTAATACTGTGCCAATTAATATCCAGAATTAATAGGGACAAACTTTGTTTTTGTTCCGATTTTATATAGTCATTCAAATTTATGATGTTCGATTGATAAAATGTTGTTCGCAATTTTTAATAATAATAACAATCAAAATATTAATATTAAAATATAACAAAATATATTTAAAAACCGATTTTATATAGCCGTTTGAATTTATAATGTCGTCCGAATGTTAAAATTTAGTTGTAAGAAATTAAATATCATCATACCATGCTTCGATCACTTTTAAATGATGACAAGTGCAATAAAAATTTATTAGTTTTATTAAATATGAAGTGTTACAATCTTAAGTGTGTTGGAGAAAAAAATATGAGGATATTTGATTTCTCTTTAGTTATTATGTTTATATGGAAGTACATTGCTAGTTCTTTCTACCTAATTATAGCAATGTACTGTCAAGTGTCAAAGTACATGAAAAAAAAATTAAATTAAATTAAATATTTTTTATGATAGAAATAAGAGTAAAATGCTATGTAAGACCACCAAATGAAAGTACAATGCCTTTTCATGTATTTAGCCAATAATATGGCTACATACAAGATGTAATAATTAACATTCAATATTTTATCTAATATAACATCTTACTTCATTTTTTTTTTTGTATTTTTTCTAATTTAGCTTTTTATATTTTTCTTATTCAATCATTTCTTATTTCAAAAGCAATGTACTTTGTTGTTCACACATATAGAAATGTATTTTGATAATATTGGTTGCGGTATCTAAGCCTTTGGTTTGTGTTTTGGAGTCACATGGTAAAATATTTGGTTTTTATAGCTTTTTTTATATCTTTAGTCAGTATGATATGGTGTTATTGTGTTTGGCGGGTCGAAGGCATCAATGCCAACCCATGATTTATTATGATAAGGGTGCTAGTTGTCTATCTGACTTTTACATGTGTGACCTGTGATATACATACCGGGCGGGGTCTGATGCCAAGCGGGTCCTGATGAGTGTATTGTATGTTATTTGTCTTAGTGATTCTGGCATGTATTTTACGTGGTTGTATGTATACCGGGTGGGGCCCAATTCCAAACAGGGACTAATAAGTATGTTGGGCGGTGCCCAATGCATGTTACTAACAGATCTGTTCCGGGCAAGGCCCGATGGTTATCGGTTGTAACGCCCGGGTTTCGGAGCTAAGAATTTTTAGACAATGTAATAGTCTAGGTCAACTGTTGTAACTCTTCCTGAAATAATAAAAATGATATATTTGAGTATTATGTGAATTATGTGTATTTATGTGCTTATTACTCATTTATAAATGTATAATAAATAAAGAATAAAAATAAGCATCAAAATTAAAATGTGAGATAAACCCGATATCTTTACATAAAGTTGTAGTGGTCGAAACAAGGATTTAGGAGATATAAAGAACGCCGAAATCTGAGTTGTACCGAAGAAGATATGATCCGTCGAAGTTTCGCGATGGAACCAGCACGATACCTACCGGGAAGCGTAAATAGTGAATTTACGATATAGCGATTTTTACCCTTAACGATCTAATCAAAAGTTGTAGAATACGTTAAACCGAGAGCATCCATAAAAAGAACGCCCAAATCTGACTTCGGATGAGGAAATTATGATTTTTTCGAAGTTTCGGCTTAGCAGTGTACAGCCCGAAACTCGAATTTTAGATCGAGCGGTTTTTGGCCTACGTGACCTAAATGATAATTGAAGATCTCATTAATAGGAACTCAACGGTAAAAAGACAGACGAAAACAGAGTACGTATGTAGAATTTATCAATTTTACGCGAACATTTAACAGTATAATCTCCCCGTACTGTTAAATTTAAGATCGGTCGAAAATTAGTCGACGGAGTCAAAATAAAAGTTGTAGATCTTATTTTTACCTACGTGTGGATATAAAGAACGTTAGAAACGGAGCTCGTATGTGAAAGTTACGGATTTTAGAAGTCGGAAGTGTACTCTGCGAAAATGGTTGACGTGGCACAATCTTGGTCATTGCTTTCTCCCCAAGGCTTACCACCAGATGGTGACATGTGGCACCAAGTTCAGCCACATTTCACCCTATAAATACCACCTCTCCCACCCTCATTTTCTTCACACATTTCTCATTCTTTCTTCTCTTTACTCTCTCTCTCTAGAACCTCTCTATAGCCCCGAAAGCCCCCGAAAAGCCTAGGGAACCTCCCTAGCACGAGGCGGAAGCCCCGGAGTGCTCGACGGCTCCGAGAAGAAGAGCTTTTCGACTTGGGAACACTGCTCCAAGCAAAGCCTAGTTTTTCTATAAAATCCGCTGTAAATGAGCTACGCCTACGCTATTTTTAATATAGCTTTTATTTAATTATAGTAACGTTATTAGGAACTTATAATAAATATTTGGGCTATTATTATGGGTTATATAAGTATTTTTTAACGCTTATATAATAGTAATAATAGCTAGAATATCAATTAGTCTCGGCGAATAATAGACTAAACTCTAGTGGTAATAATACTAGGTTTCGACGAAGGATATTATTTTTAAGAAGCTAAGCGCTGTCTGAGTTCGGAATCACCACCTTTTCACATGAGTGCATCGTCCCTTTCATCTTACACATAGATATGAAGTATTTTATATAAACTACGTGCTATGTGTGTATATTATTTTTATACTTTCTATCTATGCTAGATGAAGGATTTTATACAAGTTTTATATGATTTAAATTGTCATGTATTTTATATCTACAAAAATGTTGGGGTAAAACATGGGTAGATGTAATAGGTGATGTGTGATAAAATGATGAAATGCCTCGATGTTGTTGTTGTTGATCCTGTCATCTAGCAGAGTATAGATGACGACAACGGACTCTTGTAGACGGTCCAGTGGAATGATGATAGGCTCGCAACCTGTAGGTGTTGTGAACGATGTGTTCACCGGTGTACTCGATCCCCCTCATGGTTGCCTTTAGGACATTTATTGCTGAGGAACCCCCTTAGCAGTAGTGTCCATCCCGATGATGATCCTTAGGATAGGTCCCTTATGATAGGTGTTTAGGGACGTAATGTGAGGATAACGGGAACGGGTAATCGGGTTATTGTTGGTCGATGAAATTAATAAACTTATTTATTGTGGGTTGAAAACCCTATGTGCTCACCAAGCTCCCAAGCCTGACCCACTCAGTTTTATGTATTACAGGTAGTGGCGCTCGAAAATAATTGTGATGTGTTGGGATGAAGGATTGCGGATATAGGCTTGTAGATATGAAATAATGTAGTAAGGCTTATATTGTATTGTTTATACTTATGTACTGTATCGAACATGACATCCCAAGTCTCTTAATGAAATGCATTTCTAAGGAAATGCTTTTGATAACTCTTTATCATATTATTGTTTTGGGACAATTTCCACAACTCTTTTATTAAAAGGTTACTCTAATTTTGAAATAAAGTATAACCAAAAAAAAACATTCTTTTCTGGCCATGATTTTGGGGATGTCACAGTTGGTATCAGAGCATTAGTTTAAGCGAACTAGGAATTTGTAGGATTTCTAGACTTAAACTTAGAATGCTAAGCAATGATAGTGAGGTGTGAGGACTAGCTTATTTTAGGAATTATGCCTAAAATGCTTTTATGTGCTAAATGCTTTGTGCCTTATATGCTGTTATTTATTCGGATCTATGGTATGTTGCCGACCGGATCTGCAAACCTTATGTGTTTAGGATTCTAAACGTACGACTACGATATTAGAACTAGCATGTAAACGTTTCGAAGTGATAAGGACGATTTAAACGTCTATCCTAAATAAAGATCTAAATTCACCTTATTCGGTGTATAGATCAAAATGACTAGAACCCGCAGTGGAGCTGGGAATGCAAATGGGAATAGGAATCAACCCCTAGTGATCAGCAAATACCTGTTGTAGCAAATTCCCCCGAACCAATTACCATGGTTAGAGTACAAGCCATTATTCGTGCCATGTTAGCAGAACAAAGGGATAAAATGAGGCAGATATTGCACGAAAATAAGGACGAACCTACTATGCCCATTGAGCAACCCGAGCTGATTCCCGAGCAATCGGAGGAAGGGAACTACAGCCACCAAGTGAGTCAAGTAGGGACTCAAGGTGAGCAAAGGGATGGCCGGTAGAGGAGAAACAACAAGGATGGGTGGATGTACAAGAATTTCTTGGGTGCAAAACCACCAAGTATCTCAGGAAGCCCTAAGCCTGTGGAGATAATGGATTGGATCTCCGAGATGGAGATGGTGTTTGACAGCTACAACTGCAGCGAGAAGAGGAAAACCATCTTCGCTGTAAGACAACTGAAAACTAGAGTCTTAAGCTGGTGGAATGTAACGACCCAATTTTCACATCCAAAAATTCCGTTTTTAAAACAT